ATTCAGTGTTTGCTTAAACTGATAAAAAATTTAGAGAATAAAATTTTGATTCTGTTGCTATTTGAAGTCCAATTTAAAATCTGAATCTGGAAGCAAAACCAGCTAAGAACCACTTTTAGTTTCTCAAAGTCATAGTAATTTTTGTTTGTTTGTTTGTAGCTTTTTTTTTTTTTTTTAGAGTGCTTGGAGACGTGCCCTGATGTTCAAATGAAACCCACACCACTGACAAACCTCCGAGACTCAATTCGTTCCTCTGTTATTTTCACAAACCTCCAGCTTTTGGTCCAAAACCCCTCCATTACCATCTGACCGTTGTATTTCATCTTTTCTGCTCCCTTTGTACTGTATTTTCTTTTCTCTCTTACGTTCTCTCTCTGTCGTCTTTAAAGTGCTGTCGACTCGTGACCAGACAGAAAGAAACAATATTGCTTTTAGAGGACAAACAAATAGAGGCTCCCCATTATCTTTCCGTTCATCCTATATACTTGTGTGCGTTCTACTGTGTGTGTGTGCACCGGCGCTTGTCAAGTGGGACAGGGAAGCATGCACAAGTGTCCCATGAGAGCTCTAGCCTGTTCTATAACATGACAGGCCCTCAGAGGAGCACGCCAAGCTGTCACACTGAGCTCTCCCCAACGCTAATGAGTCAGAGTTAATTAAAAAACCCAGGCAGGACTGCGGGAGACACACACATCGATGCACACACACACATACGCAAGCGTACATGCACTCACCCAACCTGGCCAGGGTTAAACACATATAGTGGACAGTGGGGAAGAATATTGCTGATTCATGCTCTAGCCTCAGGGGGCCCGTATGTGTGTGTGTGGACGTCAGCGCATGTGTCCCTTGTGTGTGTTTAGCGTCCCTGCGGCACTGGGGCTTTTATGGAGAGGCAGGGAGGAAGCTACGCTGCTGCCGCTTTCAGTCTTTTTCTTTAGTTTCCTTGCTCCTGAGGTCATGCGTTTCTTTTAGTATCCACCAAAATAGTTACTAAAGTAGCCACTACTGAGATAGGAAAAAATGTAGAAGCTGTGGTTAAAGGAATAGTTCACCCAGAAATGAAAATTTACTCACCCTGATATCTTCCAAAAAAAAATTTTATCAGAACAGATTTGGAGAAATTTAGCAATACATCACTTGCTCTCCAATGGATCCTCTGCAGTGAATGGGTGCCATCAGAATGAAAGTCCAAATAGCTGATAAAAACATCGCAATAATCCACAAGTAATCTATATTACTCCAGTCCATTAATTAACATCTTGTGAAGTGAGAACCTGCTTGTTTGTAAAAAATAAAATAAAAATCCATTATTAAGGCGTTTTCAAAACTTCGCTTCTGGCCAAAATCCGTAATCCACTTCATCCAGTGAAAAATTCCAAGCTCTGTTGTCCTCTTACATCAAAATTAATTTTGGACTCCATTTTGGACTGTTTTCATATGTAAACAGTGCTTTATCTGTGCATATTTCTCTCCTGATTTATACGAGAGAACTTTTTCACTAAATAAGGCAATATTTAGAGGGCTCATATTTTAGTTGAAAGCAACAGTTTAAAGTTAAAAAAGTCTTGATGGATTTGTTTCTTTCAAACATGCAGCTTTTCACCTCACAAGATTTTGATAGAGTGGAGTCATGTGGATTATTGTGATGTTTTTATTAGTTATTTGGACTCTCATTCTGACGGCACCCATTCACTGTATGCAGAGGATCCATTGGTTAGCAAGTTATGTAATGATAAATTTCTCTAAATCTTTTCAGATGAAGAAACAAACTCATCTACATGTTGGCCTTAGAGTGAGTAAAATTTTTCTACAAATTCATTTTTCTGGGTGAATTATTACTTTAACATGGCTGATTTTTTTGTAAGGGTTGGATTTCTTTCATCACCCAAATGGTTTTTTATTCTTTTTTTTTCAGTTATTAAGAAGAAAAGATTAGCATCTTGCTGCAACAAGGGTTTGTTTGAAAATAAATTAATGTTTTAATTTTCCATTTTAGTTGGCAATCAGCTATTTCATCTTATCGTCGTCTGTGACACTATTAGCATGCAGGCAGAAATGTCAGCACCAGATTATCATGTTTACTCAGCATGTTAATATATTAGCATTTTTTTAATATTAATGCAGGATTAGCATAAACATTAGCATCCATTAACATGCTTTTGCATATTCAAATTTGCTTACTTCATGTACAAATGCGACGCTAATCGTTTCAGCTTTTGTTCAGTGGTTATTCCACTCAGTTCCCATCCCAGAGGGATTTTTGATTAAGTTGACGCTGAAAAGATTCACGGTTGTTTATAGCAAACTACTTTAGCAGTTCCTTTTAGCCGGGTGAGATTACCATCATATGAGATCGAGTGCTTGTTGGTAGAGCTGTACGTTAGCACAAAGGCACATCGATGCGTGTTAGGGCAGATGTTCTGTGGAGGGACAGGAAGATTGTCGTCTTGTCACACTGAACCTTAAGACAGAGGCGTGAGCTGCAACAGGCCATGAAAACTGAAAAAAAGATCCTATCACATCAGGCATGCTTGGATGAACTTTCTTGCTACATCATTCTTTCTTCTTTCAGATCTCTTCCGTAACTTTTGTTGTTGTTGATTTGGCTTATCCCTTTATCATGCAGCACATTTTGTTCATTTTCATCTGCTAGCATTTCTCTATAATTTTTAAGTTTGTGCAAAATCTTGCATACTGTTTATTTAAGGGGCGCCATATCAGTATTAGTATATCAATATTAGTACCGATTTTTTGCCATATGAGGAACTGTCTCTTGTACTTTCGGGCCAATTGTCTCTAAATCTCACATTTGTTGATTTATACGTGTTATAGGCCTCGAAACTTATATATTTGGTGATCTGGAATGTATTGAACGTTGTTGTTATGAATTCTGCTCATTTAAATATGTCACAAGATAATGTTATCTAGCTGCCTAACATTTTGTTGAAATTTCACAAATGACTTGTTATTGTCCCAGAAGCATCATTCATCATCAATCATGTGACTGTTTTACACCGCATTGCTTTCAAGCAAAAGAATATTTGTGAATTTATTTATAATTTTTTTTCCTTACACGTGTAAAATATGTTGCTAATTTTTTTTATGTTAAGACCAACATTATTTATATATAAATAATTGTAACATCTGTTACTTATTATTTATCATGTATTGTAGGGCTGGACCAGAATACTCGATTATTCGAATATTCGTTTGGTGGGTTGACATCCGATTTTCAATTTTAAGATTCGAATATTCGTTTGTTTGTTTTTCAAACACCTGGCATCCCCCGCGAAACGGTTCTCATTCGCGCTTGAATATGAATCGCCCATGAGTGAACGTCATGATTCAGTTCATCTGGAAGAGAAGACAAAAATGCCGAAGACCTCAGCTGTGTGGGAGCACTTTAAATTGAGTGAGGACAAGACAAAGGCAGTGTGCCAAATATGCGATTTGATACCACAACAGCACATCAAGTTCTGTAAGTAGTACTCCTATAGTATATTGTTGGTGTAAAAAAAAACAAGCTGCTTTTATCCGCCATGTTAATCAGTAATTTTACACATGATAAAAACGTGCACTTAATTTGCTTGGAAAATACTTGCGAATACGGCAGTCATAAAAAAACGTACAGTAGCCCAGCCTAATAATCATTTGTCTATATTAAAAGTATTGCTCTTAATAGACCTGTGTGTTTTGTATCACTAGTGCAGTGTCCGTTCTCGGAGCATGTAAGCCCTGCATGCTCAATGAATAGTGAGGCGCGCCGCTTCCGGCTCGCGCTGTTCTGTAGTTTATTAAAAGTTTATTCATTCTGAACGTGTCGCGTGTCCATATTGCACCAAAATGCGACACTGCACTCCCTTGGGTCCGCAGCAACACCCCCGCCACGCGTGAAGTCGTTTGGATGAACGGTTCTCGACATAATAAAAATGTAAACAGACAGACAGACACACAGAGATTGCTGCCTTTATTACACCGTGTCTTCACCGGACACGACAGTTGCTGCGCCGCAACAGCTAAAGTCTGTCTACACTGGACGCAAAAAAGCGACCGTTGAAAATCATTTGAAATTTGTGTCAATATGTCATAAATAGAACGCAGCAGCAGTTTTCTGTTGGGAATTTGTCGTGTCGCGACGCGCCGCATCCAGTGTAGACAGCATCACTGATTATAATGAGTTCTATAGTATTTTGTCGCGCCGTTCGCGTCCGTTGTAGACACGGTGTTAGAGAGAAGAATATGTTCAGCCCCCTCCCTCCGAAGCTTCGAATATTCTGTGTTGATTACTACCGAAGCTTCGAAGCTCAAAAAATGGCATTCGGACCAGCCCTAATATATTGTTTGGCCCTGTACCCGTTTGTTTGTTTTCACTGTCTGATAATGTATGATAATATATTTGTTTAATACATATCTATTTGCACATAATATTCAGATTTTGTTTTCAAGCTGATTTAAAACCAAGCCATTTTTTTGCACATTAAATTTTGCACGCCTGATTGTACTTAAAATTCTGGAGAGTGTTAGTATGAATGCTATTTTTGACAAAAATAATGATCAGCATTTTTTATTGGCCAAAAATTCCTAAACAGAGCATCCTTATTGTCTGTCAAATTAATGAGCAGGCATACAAAAACATACTCTGTTAAATGTTGATACCAGCATGGCCTTGTAGCCAGAAAATTACAAGAAGCAGCATATTTTTTTCCACAAACACACGCACGCACACACTTGTATTTGCGCTCACTCTCCATCTTTCTCTGGGGAGCATGAGTGTGTATGGCTGTGGGCATGTGCTCTCAGAACCTCTTCATCGCTCTTCTGTCTTTTATGACTCTGTGTCTGCTACACAAATGTAATAACATTGTTTTTCTTTCTTGGATTGGTGAAAACAATATGAAGGTAGAGGGCCCAGCTCTACTCAAACGGACACCTGCTTGTGTCTCAACCTCTCTGACCTGTCTTTAATTTATCTCTGTCTCTGTTATTTCCTCTCTCAGGTTGTGCCTTCCTCACATACTGTGCAAGAGAATCAGCGCTAAAAGCTCAGACCGCGCTTCACGAGCAGAAGACACTACCTGGGGTAGGTCATCACGGTCAAACTGGCACATAAACACATGCAAATAAGAAAACACATGCACACTGGTACAAATGTGTAGTTGACATAATACTATAGGGAAGTTGGCAACGTGACATGCTGAAATCTATACAATAATCACTATAGCATTTTGGTGTTGTTGTTTTTTTATTTTAATTATACATGTACTATGCATGTAAATTTTTATATATATAAAAATATATTAAACTGTATATGTATACTGTCATTCAAAATTTGGGGGTCAGCAATTTCTTTATTTAGGTTTTTTTTTATTTATTATTTTTAATTAATACGTTTTTGCTGAAGAAAAATGTTAACTTTTATTCGGCAAGAATGAATAAAATTTGTCAAAAGTGGCAGTAAAGATATTTAAAATGCTACAAATTATTTTTAAAATAATAATAATGTGCCATTGTTTGCACAAAAAATATTAAGCATAGCATCTATTTTCAACATTTATAATAGTAAATCAAATGTTTCTGGAGCGCCAAATCATCATATTAAAATAATTTCTGATGGATCATGTGACACTGAAGACTAGCGTAATGATGCTGAAAATTCAGATTTGCCATCATAAAAATAAATTGCATTTTAAAATGTACTACAATAGAAAATGTTTTTTAAATACGCAATAATATTTCACAATACGCAATAATATTTCACATTATTTATTATGTTTGTTTTTTTTGTTTAAGTAAACATTAAAAAATAATCTTGCAGACCCCAAACTTTTGCCACTTTTGAATGGTTATGTGTGTGTATACAGTATATCTATATTTATTCATATACATTAAATAAAAAATAGATAGTGTATGCATTGTCAACTACCCAAACTTACATGTAATGCATTTTAAATTTTAAGCACATTGTATGTAGGTTTATTTATTATGTATTTATTTTAATTTTTTGCCAAAAAGTTAGCCCTCAAAAAGCGATAACTCTTCTTTTTTGGCTCTGTTTTCAATCTCGTCCACTCGTACTCTTCCTTCCTTTTCCTCTCCATTTCTCTCTCTTTCTCTCTGGAAGAGCCTTGTACCCAAGGGCAAGAACTACACAGCACCTTGCGCTCACTCTCCATCTTTCTCTGGGGAGCATGAGTGTGTATGGCTGTGGGCATGTGCTCTCAGAACCTCTTCATCTCTCTTCTGTCTTTTATGTCTCTGTGTCTACTGCACAAATGTAATAACATTGTTTTTCTTTCTTGGATTGGTGAAAACAATATGAAGGTAGAGGGCCCAGCTCTACTCAAACGGACACCTGCTTGTGTCTCAACCTCTCTGACCTGTCTTTAATTTATCTCTGTCTCTGTTATTTCCTCTCTCAGGTTGTGCCTTCCTCACATACTGTGCAAGAGAATCAGCGCTAAAAGCTCAGACCGCGCTTCACGAGCAGAAGACGCTACCTGGGGTAGGTCATCACGGTCAAACTGGCACATAAACACATGCAAATAAGAAAACACATGCACACTGGTACAAATGTGTAGTTGACATAATACTATAGGGAAGTTGGCAACGTGACATGCTGAAATCTATACAATAATCACTATAGCATTTTGGTGTTGTTGTTTTTTTATTTTAATTATACATGTACTATGCATGTAAATTTTTATATATATAAAAATATATTAAACTGTATATGTATACTGTCATTCAAAATTTGGGGGTCAGCAATTTCTTTATTTAGGTTTTTTTTTATTTATTATTTTTAATTAATACGTTTTTGCTGAAGAAAAATGTTAACTTTTATTCGGCAAGAATGAATAAAATTTGTCAAAAGTGGCAGTAAAGATATTTAAAATGCTACAAATTATTTTTAAAATAATAATAATGTGCCATTGTTTGCACAAAAAATATTAAGCATAGCATCTATTTTCAACATTTATAATAGTAAATCAAATGTTTCTGGAGCGCCAAATCATCATATTAAAATAATTTCTGATGGATCATGTGACACTGAAGACTAGCGTAATGATGCTGAAAATTCAGATTTGCCATCATAAAAATAAATTGCATTTTAAAATGTACTACAATAGAAAATGTTTTTTAAATACGCAATAATATTTCACAATACGCAATAATATTTCACATTATTTATTATGTTTGTTTTTTTTGTTTAAGTAAACATTAAAAAATAATCTTGCAGACCCCAAACTTTTGCCACTTTTGAATGGTTATGTGTGTGTATACAGTATATCTATATGTATTCATATACATTAAATAAAAAATAGATAGTGTATGCATTGTCAACTACCCAAACTTACATGTAATGCATTTTAAATTTTAAGCACATTGTATGTAGGTTTATTTATTATGTATTTATTTTAATTTTTTGCCAAAAAGTTAGCCCTCAAAAAGCGATAACTCTTCTTTTTTGGCTCTGTTTTCAATCTCGTCCACTCGTACTCTTCCTTCCTTTTCCTCTCCATTTCTCTCTCTTTCTCTCTGGAAGAGCCTTGTACCCAAGGGCAAGAACTACACAGCACCACATTAGAGCTGTCCTATTTATAGTGTCTTTTAGTGTCTCTGAGCGTGTGTGTGTGTGTGTGTGTGCAAGCGTGCCGGATGAATGCCTGTGGGCACGTGTGTGTGTGTGTGTGTGTGTGTATTACTCCGTATCTCCTTTTTGGGTTAGTACAAACTTGCTGTCCCACTCTAACATTGTTTGGTTGTAGTGTGTGTGTGCGTGTGTGTTTTGAAGTTGCTCCGTTAGCTCTTGCTCAGCTCGGTTTGGTGTGTTCTGTTTTAATGACGCCTCCGGGGAGAATGACAGTTGCCGTGGCGAACGGAATGCCTTTGATGCGAGTGATTATGACATCATAGATGTTGAATACAGGGGGAGTCACTTTGCTGGAGTTCCTTTCTTTTAGTGCAGAGAATATTCACTCGGTAAAAAACGCTCACACAGCCATACACGTTTTGCTCTTTTTTTTTTCCCCCCACATAAACGTGTAAGTCATCATGTTAGATGTTGACTGTAATAAGAAAAACCCTTGATCGTCTTATTATGAGCACATCTATTCGCAAGAAATGCAAACGCAGCAGCTGCAAATGAATTCAATCGAAGGCTCTTCCTATCACAAATGTTTCATAAGAATACTAATTACCCAGAGGAACGTTTTATCACTCGGGTTGCTCATTCAGAGCTCAGGAGACTTAATGGAGTTCTTGGTTGGGTTTTATTTTAGTCTTTGTCTCGGATGTTTCTCCTATAATTTCTTAAGAGAATTATATTTTTAAAGATGGAGGATTAGAACTGTAAAATGAATATGGATACTATATCTGAGATAATTTGGGTTTGGAAGAATTTAATGAGAAATATTGGAGAAATCTTACACTTTTCTTGACAGACCTGAGCATAAACATTTGTTGAGACCTATTTGGAAACATTGGAGATTACTGGGGTCTTTTTTTTAAATCCGGTATAATTTTGGTATCAGAGGTATTATTATAGTTTTTATTAGTAATTAGATTTTTTTATTTTCATTTTTAATTTTACTTACATTTTTAGTAATTTTTTTGTGTGTTTTTGTCATTTTTTTACTTTTTCTAAATATGTCTATATATTTATATTTCAGGTTTAGTTTTAGTTAATTTTAGAAAATGAGAATAGTTGCCTTGGCTGCTCGTTTTTGTTCTATTTATTTTTATTAATTTTAATTAGCAAAAAAAATTATTTTAGTTAACTAGTAACCCTGAAACAATCTGAGATATTTGATTTGATATTTACAGTATAACCAGAAATCTACATTTGTTTTCCAAATTATCTAATTTTTCTCTAAGGGGATACAGCTGATGTTTAATTTTTCATGCGTACAGTATGAGCCATCATGGCCACTTCAAATATAAGCACATTTTTATTGTGAATAGTAAAGGCTTAGGTAAACAAAGAAAGAGAGAGAGAAAGCAGAATAAATAAATCTGGAGAAATGAAGAAAAGTCATTGGAACGTTTTATGTGTTTTAACTGCAGGAGAATCTTGAGCCATCCCACCATTTCTTTCTCTTTGTCCCCCCTCTCAGCCTTTATGCAGTAATCTCTCTCATTTTTCCACTTCACTTGACAGCTTGATGGTTTTTAGGAAAGTGGTTTTTATGTTAGAAAGTTCTGTCAAGTGCAAGAAGGCTCCCAAGCTCCAGTTGGGAAGAGATAGAACGAGCCAGAGAGAGTGGGCTGCACTTGGACCTTCAAAATCACAGCTCAATAGCAGAGTCGCTCCAAATGAGTGGTGAAAAACACATTTGCGCCTGTTAGCTTAAAGCCTGACCCTCTCTGACGTGAGTTTGGTATGGGATGACGTTGTTTGGTATGGGATCACCTCACTGACTAAAATCACACAAACATTTATATTGTGCTTATCGAGAATTTCTGCCATATTTGACATCACAATATTGCAGCTATAAAGTAATGCATGACAGAATATAGTGTTTATAAGTGTAATTTGGTTTAAGGTGTATTACCTACTGGTATGATACCTTATATTTTTTGCTGGGTTATTACATATAGGTATATAATCATTTTTCACATTTTCCAGGCTATATTCTTATACTTTTATATCTTGTATAATGGTAGTCAAGGTTCCTCATACCAAAAACCATCTTAATTTAGCTTTATATGATTTTCATACTTATTTTTTTTCCCGTTCTGACCTTTACAAGTAAACCAGCGGTTTTGGTACTGTACCTTTAAGACTTGCTTGTGAATTACCTGTCATGTCTGACTGTCCCATCATGTAGGTTTAGTTTCATTCATGAAGTTTCTGGTAACTAAATATCCATTTATAAATAAATTAGGTGATCATATGTTAATGTGGTCATGATTGTCAAATTGTAATTATGATGATTTCGAAATAACTTTTTGCACATAGTACATACAAACTGAAGCTTAAGTATGAAATACATAGAAAAGAAATCAAGCGTAGCGTTAGTTCTGGCAGGTCACGTTAGTCAATCTCTCATCAGCTGACTCTCAGCTGATCCCCATCTACCTATGGGAATACGACACCTATCTAAGCATTCATATATAAGGTCCCTCAGTATTATCAGCAGTTTTCGCAATGCTCAATAGCTAATTATCCCCCTCCATCCCCAGCTCCTCCTCTGTCAGTCAGGATTCAGCCTTCTGATTCTCCTTGAATCAGACTAATTCTAAAATGTGTGCATAACATTATTGAACTTTAACGATATCTGCAATACATTTATGTTGGTTCTGTT